AACAGTGCGAGTAAGCATGTTTATTGAGAATGAGTTTGTCTCTCAGGAAAGGATCCATTATTTATATTTCAGGGGAAGGGGGGGAGGATGGGTAAGAAATTAACAAATCTTCCTTTTTTGCCATGAGGCGCCTTAGCAAAACTGGATTTTCCAGGTCCCCCTATTCTATTAGGGGAGCATTTAAATCCCCCGCCCCCCACTTACACACACCTACACACACACACTAAACAGTTTTACTGTATGCACGGATACCGTTTTTTTGTGAGGGTGCAGTGATGTAGCGGTTTAATAGCATATTGGACTTCAGATCTAATTGTCACTGGCTTGAGGCCATGTCACTACCTTGTTTGTTTTAAAAAGAAAAGAAACTTCCCTGATGGTGTCTTTCCACCAGGTAGAGCAAAGGATAAGTGTTTCCCTTCCCTTGAGGAGTAGCAATGTCAGTTGCTTGAATCATGATACAGAAAGCAGATGGTTAACACTTTGTTAAAGTAATTTTGTGTATAATTGGGGGAATCAAATAACGAAATTCTAGTTACAAATCATACATGTACCCTGTGACTGCACCACAATACTGTGCAAGACTATGCTCTAAGAAGGATCATAGGGATTCCAAAGGCTGCCAGCCATAATATCTGGGGTACCCTGCAGCTCTTATTAGTACACTAAAATATCTTGTTGCTTTTTATTCAAGAATTTGCCTCTTTAAAATTTCAAGGCCCCCCTTCATAACAAATAATCTACCTCAGGACCCCCCTCTTTGCAGTGGCTAAAACTTCGAGTCCATTTTATCACCCCCCCCCCCACCCCCGATAAATATTGAATGGTCCCTAAGTGTTAATCCCAAGAAAAGTGGGAGCTGAACAGGGTTACCGTAACCGGTAGATCCTGGCTTGAATTTTCACTTTACTTGTAGCTAATCTCCTCAAATTCAAGATGCACACTTATTACCGTCATGCTAATCACTCAAAGCTTTGGGTCCTAAGCACACAATATCACTGTAAAATGTCTGTTGTAAGCTTTTTTTCAGTTCTAATGATGCAGTGTCTATAGCCTGCAAAGTAAGTCTGCAAGTCAGGTAGACTTCAGTGCAGTATTCAACATACTGAAATTTGACACATTTTTACTTAGTTGAATAAGGAACTTCTGCAAAGCAGACTAATTAGACATATATTATAATTCCAAAGGTGTTTAAATCAAGATTTTATTGTCACAAATCCTTAATTACAGCAAAAATAATAAATCCACTGCACTTGCAATCTTGTAAACCAGCATAGCATTGAACTAAGACCAAGAACTTTACACAGTTTTCAGTGATACTTCCTCCACAGAGAATGTGCTTTGAAAAAAAAAAACAGAATTTTAATACAAACAATTTTTAAGCTTCACGAAGGTGCAATACAACATGCAAGTGCTGTACAAAGTTTCCCTCACTGACAGAAAGGACTTGAGTTTGTATATTGTTTTTTAGGTAGAATTATTTAAGGTTGATGCACTTATGCCACAAAGGGCTTTGTGCATGCATCTTGCTAGGATTGGGGGAAGGGGAGGGGCATAAACCAGGGCAATTTAACAATTTATTTAAGTTAATCCATAATAAATGAAACTGATCATCCCCAGAAAAAAGGAAGTTATTACAGCCGCCTTAACATAAGAGTAAATGTTTATCTGCTTAGCCGCAGCTGTTTAAACATTGGATAGTGCTATCCACCTGATAATTCACTATCCCGTGGATAAGTATTAGGAAAACCATTTGCACCATCCACTGGATGGAGATTTATCCGCTGAATAACATTTATCCACCTTTTGAGCGACTGCATTCTGGTGTCAAACGTGGTGTGAAAATCTCCCAACAGGGGATGGCTTTTTCTGCCAACTTCCCAAGAGCAACACACTCCACCCAGCCCTCCACCCTACGGCTAACATTGGGGGGTTTAATATACCACAGTGGTGACCAAAGTAAAAATGTCATCGAAAAAGTGTTTCGTGTTCTTTCAATTTTCATTGCAATTATGTCAAATCACCCACTTTGTCAAACGTAAGAAAACTCTCCAAGCCCCACTTGTTCAAAAGGGGGATAAGGCTATTGTTTCTGCTGAATAGTGATTTATCTGGGACCGCTTCCTTGAAAGATGGTTACGTTTAACCCAGGATTAAGCCAAATTTTAAGCAAGGTTTTCTTGTCTACGAACATGTAACTGAGCTAATGAAATACTGTTGTGCCCTTACTTCGAAAAAAAGAAATGATAACACAAAATGTTACTCTAAGAAATGCATAGAACAGTAAATGCAAAAAGTTGAACAAAATTTTAATCCTAGATAAGTGCTAATCGGCCTCTCAGGAACCGGGCCCTGGTGAATAGCGCTATTCAGTGTTCAAACTGGTGACCTGGAGTTGAATCCTTAAGAACCATATCCAATTTCAGGTAGAGAAAGTGAATTTTGGGAAAACACTTGTTTACGTCCTACACAAAACATGAAATTAGGCAATTTCATCTCTAATTGTGCAGTGACAGC